TTCACTGAGAAGGTTCACTGCACCAAATTAGGAAGGAGAACATCAAAACCTCTCGGTAATATTTCCCGTATTCTTCAAGGTTTTGTTCTATCTCCATATCTTTTCTCTGCCCTTATTGGTGATCTTTCGGTCCCACCCCCTGCGCACATCCAAAAGTATGCAGATGACGTTATTTTGTGTCAGGCAGTTTCATCTCCTTCGGAGTTTGATTCTTTTACTGAAAATCTATCCCACATCCAACAGTTTTCTGATCAATCTGGTCTCAGTATTAACATATCTAAGTGCGAAGAGTGTATTTTCAGTCTTTCCTGCTCCTCATTTCCAACGGACTGATACTCTTAACGGTAAATCTGTGTCCAGAATGAACTCAGTCAAGTACCTGGGTGGCACTTTCGACAGTAACCTTCGTTGGCCAATACATATCTACAACTGTATGGGAAAACTGAGACGCCAATCTTTTCAGTTACGCAAACTCAGACAATTCCAAACCCCACAGTCAGTCCTGTCCTGTTTGGTTCATCAATGCGTTTTACCCATTCTACTCTATTGCTCCCCTGTAGTGTTTCCCGGTCTTTAAAAACAAGACTTCAAAACAATTCGTCATGGTTTGCTGATCATCAGTCGTGCATCATTAATTCCGATCGATTCATTAATGACGGAACTTATTGATGGTCACATCAACTCTTGTGTTAAATTTGCCCATAAGATTTTAGATTGTCCTCTTTATCCCCTGCACCGTGATTTATCGTCTCGTCGTTCCCATCCGTCCACACGGTCCTCATTTCGGCATCTACCCTCTCGCATTAACAGTTATAAAAGCTCCCCTGTACTCTACCTGGCCCAACTCCTAACCAAATAGGAACACGTCGTAAGTGAACTACGTCAAAAGTTTTCTATACGAAACGTGATTTCAGCGACAGTCTTTACCTTTCGTGTTATATTTCATTTCTTTATTATTATTATTATTATTATTTCATGCCACGTGACGAGCAGTGTACATTTGTAACTGAAATGTAGGCATATATGCTTGCACAAGTTACACAACTACAAATCAGTGAGCTGCACCATCATTCTTCTTTGCATAACACCTCTCTAGATTACGTTCTCGAAGATGCCTGGCCAATCAATATGTCAGTAAACCCTGACCGAGAACGAGCAAAACAGTAACACTCACATGGAACTTCTCCTCGGCGGCGCGTATCGCATCCATGGTTGCGCGCATTTCTTGTTCCAGCTGGGCTGTGATCTGTTGCTCATCAGATGGACCGGTGTCCCGGAGTCGTTGAAACTGTTCCACAGCTGACATGAGACGCTCCAATGTGACACGCATCGAACTTATCCGACTATCCGATAACAGCACCTCAGCTCGATCCGCTTCCATATGTTGGAACAGGGCAATCAGATCTTGACACATTTGGTCAGGATCTGGACAGTATGTATGGTGCATGGATAGGAGAAGGAAATGTGTGTATGAAAAGCACGTGATTAGCCACCGCCACTGGGAAAAAGCATCTAGGTGATCGAAGGTGATGTTCAATACAAACCAAAAGGAACCGGCACAGAAGGTCCCCGTTCTTAACAAACCTGCCTCGTTCGAAATGAGAGCACGACAAAAGATCTCAATGGAAGAAGTGATATGTGTGGAAGGGGATCACTGGGTCCACGAACCCCAAACACAGAAAAAAATAGATTAGAGATCAACATTCAACAAAACTTACAAGTAAAAAAGAAATTATTCTTTTCTATGCGGCTGTTTTCACAAAAAGCGGTGGGCAATCACCGACACCATCCTACTGAGCCGGGATACAGAACGGTAGATATCACAGGTGAATAAAGTATACAAAAAATCAAGGAAGCTGCCTTGATTAACTGACCTACTTTATGGATGAATAAAGTAAAGAAGTCCATAGAAATGAAACAGGAGCAGCTCCATCTCTGAATATTGTCCGGTAAATTTGTCTTGGTCGATTAATGTGCGGAGTATAGAAGTGAAAGATTTCTGGTTACCAGAGCGGACACGGAAAATATTACAATTTCTCTTCGTAGACCACTCAGTCAAACGGGGGAAATTTGAAAAGAACAAGGTGTAAATCACTTATTCAAACCCGAACTCTTGAAAGGCCTACTTATACGAGATGATAAGCTCCCCAATACTTTATTACCCTTATCTTTATGCAAAACAGGTTTAAAACAAGGTTGGATTACCACGTCTTCAGCATTAGGGTTTCACTTCAGAGGTTGCATCTCACCCCCCAAGCCGCATTTATGTGCTTCTAGGCGAGCACTCGCTCCGATGGAGCGAGCTACATCGGTCGAAGTACGAGGCAACTGTCAAGGTGAAAGCACGAACACCACCCCGATCGGCTGAGACACGGTGAAACTAGGACAGCGAGAAATGCTATCTGCCAGCACGTACACGGCACTTAGTTCATGCTGATCAAGCGTTCGCATCGTTTATCCCGCGCACTGAACTCTGCCAGAGGACTTCGGTTTATCATCCAAACAATCAGAAGCAGTACGTTCGGGCTTTAACTGTGTCATGACTTCGGGTGAAGGAACCCCAAAAGGACCCCCGGAGGACGCCCAATGACCTAGTCGAGATGTACATCAGGTTACCAATTTAGCAAACTTTCTGTACTTAGTTGGATGCGATCAAAACCAGATTGACAAACATAAATAACCCTACATAAGTGTACTAACTAGTCGATGAATTTATAGAAAAACAGCTTGCTCCGCCCAGTAGACCTTTTTCAATGCGGCAATGACCGAGACGAAATAAGCTTTTAAGCAAATCGTCCACGTCTGGATGGTAGTTTGCTTTATTCTATTTTGCTACAGTAACACGCGGCGGTCGCTCATCAATACAACATTTTCTGCAGTGAATCAACAGCAGAGTTGCAGCGACGCTGTATCGCACATCAATCGTCGTTGAATTTAGTCTAATAAGCCCCAGGCTTTAGTGTTGCTTCCCGATCCGTGTCTGCAACAGCACCACATGTTTTGATCTTGATACCGAGATGTTTTGCAACTTGTTTCAAATCATCACCTCTGCTTGCACATTCAATTATTCTGCGTCGATCTTCAGATTTCTCCTACCATACAGTTTCTTTTTTTAATCCACTGGAAAAGAATTTCAGTAAACTCAAACAGGTGAGCGATTTTATTCTTTTAATTCCCTTATCATTTAGTACATTAAAAACTGGTTCACTGAAATCACGGAAGCCATACGAGATGTACCAAATGGTTTGACGGTACGGGCACATCGTCTAAACCTACTCCAATCACTATGTGGTGCGCCACGTGAAGCAGTTACTACAGACAACTGCGTAGCATACGATCGCCGCACGTTCTCATTTATTAGTCAAGCATTGCAATATCAAAATTTGTAAAATACATTATTTCTCCGAATTCGCTGACCTCAGAATATTCCGATAGTTTTTGTTCTGACTGGCCTACAGCGGTGTGACTGAAGATTGTGCGTCGAGGCTAAAGGAATGCGGGTCGTGGCTAAAGCATTGTGGGTTCTGGCTGAAGCTACCACGACGAGAATACACGTTGACGTTGTGTGATGGCGTGTGTGCCTCCATGACCCTGCGAGCTACACAGGATGGCTTTGCACAGCCGTAGATCCAATCATGCCTGAAAGGTCAACAGTAGAGGCCAAACGAAGCTCACTCTCACAAAGCCAGGTGCTTGGGTACCTCCTGGTTTCCTTCTTCTCTTCACACATCCCCTGGAGAGGCCACTCCGGCAAATAAACACGGTGAGGGGCAGTTTACCGGTCAAAAAAGAAACCCGCTAGATGGACGTAGGAGCGGGGTACCTGGGGCTTCCTCTCGACGGTGGGAGAAGTCTTCGCACTTCATTGAACAGCTACCGTCCGCCCAAGCTGGGCAGCCCCCAGCCAATAAGGTGCTG